CGTCCTCCACAACTAGACTGAAGAACAAAAGGACAGCAACTTGTCTGTTCCCCTTCCCCCAATTCCCCAGCGCTGTTCCCATCCCCCAATTCCCCAACTAAAAAAAAAACAAAAAAACAAAAAAAAACAAAAAAACACAGAATAAAACCCACTTGTTAGAAGAATCCTCCCAGTCGGGAACAAAGCAACCCGACAGCCTATCTATGACACAACACACAGCGCAAACAAGCACTTCTATTCCAATGTAGTTTAGGAGTTCCCATCTTTCCAAACGGAACTTGAATTTCTCAATGAGCCATGTTGCTCCACTCTACCTTTGATCCATCTCCTTTTGAATGTCTTTATTTAATTCATCGACTTTCTGTTGGAGCTTTTTCCTTCTCTGTTCAGGTGGGAGGTTGCTGAAGTCCTCTGGTGTCGCACCCTGCAGATGCAAACAGAAATAAGCCGAGAAGCCTTACGCCCCTCCTTGCCAAAAGCGATGGGAGACGGGCTGCAGGAAAGAGTCCCCAGACGCCGGGGCGTGCAGACGTCTGCGCGTGTTTGTGTAATCAACCCAGCCCTTTCCCACACACCCAGCTGAGAGGCAGAATCAGGGCATGCAAGCTACACAGGTCCCACAAACCACTCCTTGTCCCACGGGCGCCGGCCGAGCCGCCTCCGAGAAGGCAAGAGCAATGCTGCAGGGGGAGGAGAGAGGAAGAAACACTTCAGACTCCAGGGAGAACGGGCGAAAAACGCAGTTTGAGACCGAGCCTTCGCTTTACCGCCAGTGTCGCTGGCGACACTGAAGTTTTAAGGACGTTTGAAGTTTTCACCGCATGAAACAGTGATAAGTGCCCCCATCATGGGTACCATGGAAACCTGCCACGCTCCCCCCTTGTCTGAGTTATTTCTTCCCATCTCTGCACAGGCTGAGGCCAAAAGTTTCCGTGCCCGTGAAGTGACAGATGGGACATCTAGTTCCTCAGAGAATAAGGGTGAAAAGGACATTTGAAAAATAGTTCCTTACCCCCTTCACATACTCTTGCCCCTGCTGCCCCTAAGTCACTTCTTTTTGAGATCTTTACAGTAATCTCCAAAAAAATTCATCGAGGATGCCCTCCCCGGCCTCATAATCCACTTCCCACAGCATAGGGGACGAACCTCAGCCGCTTTTAACCCATCAGAAGTGTGTTTTGATGTCCTGATGCCCTTCCCAAAACAATGGCTATCTTTCCTCTGAGCGTGCGACTGAAGTAGAAAATGCCAACGGGGAGTTTCTAGACTTTCACATTATGCTCGCTTGTTAGAAGCTGTGGTTATCAAGTGCTTTGATTTAAATGAGGCTATTTTCATAGAGACATTTGGTCAAGAACCAGGGATAAGCCAGGGAATTTAGAAAAGAGATTTTACTTTGGAACCCATGAAACAAAGGCCAGACTGGCTTGGGGAGTGGGCAGAAAAGAAGGGACCCGGATAATGTCATTCCAAAATCAGGCTGAGTCCGCCAAGCAGCTTACATGGGGGCTTGTGACGAAGTTCCTAGGCTGCTTATGATAAAAAGCCAGGCTGCTGAGCTGGACGTGTGGGATTCGGCACACAGTTTACCATCAGGGCCACACAAAGACCTTTCAGCCAGTGTCCTCAAAGACGTGTGTGTGTGTGTGTGTGTGTGTGTGTGTGTGTGTGTGTGTGTGTGAAGCACTAAGATATGAGTGAAACCGGAACGGAAGTGACTGCCCTAATGCCAAACCAAGGAAATTCAATTTGCCTCTAAAACTGGGATGAAACAAACTAATCTTTCATATGAAAATAAATCAGACATGTTTTTTCTTGCCCATAAACCGCTGTTATGAGACTTGAAACCATCATTATGAGCTTTTCAATTTGCTCAACTCAATCACTGAAAGCTCAGTAGTTTGTCCTCATGCTGAATTTACTTAACACACACGAGCATGCTTTCTAGAACCGAGGTTTTGTTTCATTTTGTTCCTTAATGCTGGAATCGGCAAAACACAGTGTGAGATGCACTGCTTCCGAAGCCAGGAAACCCAGCAAGCGCTCAGTGTTAATTTGCGAACATTTACTGAGGCTTACTATGTGCTCTGGGTCCAAAAGAACTTTCTATGATGATGGAAATGTTCTCGTATCTGCACAGTGGCCGCACATGGCCACCGAGCATTTGAAATGTGGCTGGTGCAACTGCAGAACTGGATTTTAAAATGTTACAGTAACGCGTTGGTTTGCGAGCATAATTCGTTCAGGAAACAAACTACTCGTATTGTAAGACATCGTGCGTTTACCATGTTAAAATGTATTTAGAAATGTTTGCTCGTCTTGCGGGACATTTGCAAACCACGTTACTTGTAATCCAAGGTTTTACTGTATTGCATTTTCATTAGCTAAAATTTAAATTGCCCCGTGTGGTGAATGGCTTCCATAGTCCCACGTCTAGACTGTGAACAGGTGTAAAGCTTGCACTGCTGGGTAAACAGCTGCAAAGAAGTCTGTAAGTAAAACACGGTGTACTTAGGACTTATAAACAGATACCCCAAATGACAACATCAACAACATGCAGCCCTGATTATTGATAGAAACTGAATTAATCACATAATCAATAGACCAGGAGTCAGTCTGACTGACCAGGTAGGGTCCCTGTTGATAGACGGTCTGTGTTTCTGTGTTGTTATTTGATCTCAGTAACGATGCCTCAAACAAACTTCACATGGCCCAGGGAGACGGCTTCTTCTAGATCCAAAGAAACGTAAGGTTTCCAGAAGTACCCGTAAAAGGTCATTTTGTCCAATGAGCCTTTGGAAACTTGAATGTCTTCAAATGATACTCTGACCTGAGAGTCATTTTGCCATGAAGGGATTTTATGTTTCTAGCTTTGAGTCAGAACAGATTTTCTGCAATCTTTGGAAGAGCCCAGATCCCCAAGAGCCAGGGGGTGTCGGGATTGGGCGAGGGGGTCACATGCATAAATGTACGTTTTAACTGGCTTTTGCTCTACGAGGATCTGGCTTTTGGAATCGAACATGTGCTCCTGAGAGACCCCACCCAAATAGCAGAAGCACAGCTGTTTCTTGAGATTTTACTGTTTTTACACCCAAGCCCTCTCTGCGAACACCTCACTTCTTTATTAGCTTCGAACTAATGGTAAAAAGCAACAATTCAATGCCAGGTTGGTAAACTGATTTGTGTCTCAAACAGGAAGACTGCCCAGTGATACTATCTGTTGCTGCTAACACCTCAGCAAAAGAACAAATAAAGGGTAAGAAAGAGACCCTGGCAGCCGAGTGGGTCCGAGTTTCTCCCAGACTCATAGTGCTGAGAAATGCAGCTCATTTAAGCATCTATTAATACAATAGATCTTTCCTTCTTGTAGAGTCTTTAACCAAGGACGCATCATGCGGCTTTATTTCAGTCTAAGAAATGTGTCATTTAATAAAATATTTGTTTTTTTTTTTAAGGGTTGGCTCAGTTGCCAAATACTGCCAGGTTGAAATAATTATGTATGTACGTGTATGTATATGCTTACACACGTATGTATAAGAGTAACTGTAGCCAGCCAAGTGGTTCAGTTGGTTAAGAGCTCGCTCAAGAGTGTGAGCGCTGAGCAACAGGGTTGCCCGTTCGATTCCCGGCCCGAGCTGAACTGCCAACAGGTGGCATGGTGGCTCAGCTAAAAAAATAAATAAATAAAAATAAAAATAGAAGAGTAACTGTAAAAAAGTATCCTACGTCATCAACAGCAGTACACAAAGTCTCATTCCTGGTTGAATTGTCACCATTTATCATTGTCCATAACTTCAGGATATCCTCGGCTGTGGTTTGAGAATACTATGTAACTTACACATATGGGAAGTATAGTTACAGGTTATGTTGGTTAAGAGTTTCTTTTAATAAATGTAACAATTAGTCTGTTTACTAAGACTATTACAATTAAGTAGAAACAACACAGAGCACTAAGTAAATCATTTTAGAAAGGCTTAGGAGGCTCTTTTCCCCGGCCACAAAATCATCTTGTGATTTCTTGAATCAGCTATGCACAAGGCATCCATATCTTTATGAGGCGCCTTCAGGATTTCATGGGTTTCGGTTCTTACAGGCTGCCTGAGACCCGAGTTTGGGACTGGCATTGTTCCCGCCTGTCTCTCTCAGGTTCCCAGGGTTTGTCATCTGCCTGGTGGCTCCCGGGGAGGAGCACCTTTCAATTTTTAAATTCACTTTCATTCAAAATGACCCAATAAATAAACTCCCCAATATTGACTATTTAGCTTCACATTTCAGTAAAGTTGATCCACATTTGTCATCCTCTTAAGGCCCCCGATATAAAGAAAACCAAATGAGTTAAGCGTTAATTTTCTTAGCAACTTGAAAGATTAAGATCGCCTCTATTAGATGCTTGACCTTTGTGTTTCAAAGGTCTGAAAAAGAAACAGCAACAAAAGCACACACAAGAGAAACACAAGTCAACAGTTAACTGTGAAGATAGGCTGTACACGGCATAGCACCCACAAAACACACACCAAGAAAGCTGGTTCGATTGAAGACATGCATGGAACAATTGTGCTTACCAGCTTGAGAGAAAGCTTCGCGTAAAAATTGAAGGGGAGTAACGGGAAAAAGAGAGAGAAAGAGAGAGAGAGAGAGAGAGAGAAAGAACACATCAGAAGAGGAGGAACTCGGTCATTTCCACCGCATTAACATAACACGTACATTCACCTGTCGCTTTGTGAAAACGACTTGGAGCGGATCTGTGCAAAAGTTCACGAGAGGGGCTGATCCCCACCAAAACCTTTTGGTAGCTGCCACGTGTGTTGCCAAAGCAAAGAATGAAGACAGAGGGGAGTTTCTGGTGACAGCTCTATAGGGTCCCATCAGCCTGGATATCGACTAGACTAAGTTTGTAGTTTGTAGTCGGTGACATATAATGATGATAAAAGACAAAAACAACCACATGGCCCTTAGTTCACCACATTTGCCACAGAAAATTTTACACAGACTAAGAGTCTGAAAAGTGATTACTTCCACCCCAGACATGTCAGGTTTTTAACTTATGGAAATTTGATATATGTGAACAATGGCGTTTCTTAGAGGCATTAAGGCAAACTCTCAAACTGGTGAGTGGGTGGTCATAGCTCTGAGGAACTCCCTCCAGGGGCCAGAAAGCCCGGAGGATGCCCTCAGCCACCAGAGCAGCACACACCACCTCCTGCTCTGCGGGGGAAGCGTCTTCAGAGGCTTTCCGTCACTATGAGCCCGACTATGAGCCCCATCCAGGGGGCTTACATAGCGTCTGGGGGAATTAACAGGAGTTAATTCCCGCTCTTGAAAGTTAGCTCTGGGAAACAGTCAACTGTCTCACCTGCCAACAGCTGCTCCTTACTGCGGTTGCCCTGACAAGCAGCAGGACACACGCAGCAGCCGTAATCCTGCTGCGCCTTAAGGTTAGGGAAGGTACAGTGATTACGGGACCCAAAACAGACTACGAGGCGGCTCCATTACTACAATATTGTCACAAGGAGATGAAAGACAGTTCGAGGAATATAATTAATAATGTTGTAAATATTTTGTAGGGTGTCAGATGGTCACATGTCTTGTTAGGGAGACCGCATCATGGATGGGGTAGAGGCTTGATCAGTGCACTGTACACCTGAAGCTGATGTATAATATTGTATGTCAACTATAAGTGAAAAAAAATATATATATATAGTCATGGGACGTGGAGTATAGTGTGGGAGTGGAGTCAAGGGAATTGTAATAGATATGTATGATATTGGGGGGAAATGGGCGGCATATTGGGGGAGGGGGGGTTGTCACTTTGAGGAGTAAAAGGTATAACTATTGCACTGTGTTGTACAGCTGAAACTAATTTAAAAAAATGTTTATTTCACAATAAAAAATAAAAATTAATTAATTGGAAAAAAAAGAGGAGGCTCAAAATTAGGGGGGGAACCCCCCAAACATTTGGTTCCTCATGAATAGGTGAGACCTGCTCTACCACTACCATGCAGTATTTTGAGAGCTCAGTGCATATTTACTTAGCTGTTATCAATCCTAAAAGTTCAGGCAACTGCTAATAGGATCCAAAACTATGTTGGAGGCAAAGTACAGCAAAACGCGCCCTTTGATTTTAAAGTGGGAGGAGGGAGGGCGTTCAAAATTCCTGAGCCAGATTTAGAAAATCACATTCTTAAGATTAACTCAAAGTTGACACTTCTTTGTAAATAGGCATTAAGCTTTTAAAAAAATTGTCTCTATGAAGAAAAAGGCAACTTTTAAGGGAAGTAGCAAGACTAAACTTTCGGGGGGAAAGGGTCCATCTGCTCACATTCCCGACTTAACTCCTTGAGCCCCCGCCACCCCCCGTGAACTTTAGCACAGATCTATTCATCACAATTTGAGTTCTTTACAGACAACATTGAATGGTGCACAGCAGAAAACTTTGCCAACACCTCCCCTACGAAGCACACTGCCATGTACAAATGTCTTCTCACACAGTATCGTCTAAACGTCGCTAATTCAAAGGACCAAGATTTGAACTCGGTCCGCTATCTGCTCTGTATTTGTCTACTTCCATTATTTAAAGTTACATATTCCTTCTTTAAAATAAAAAAACAAAACAAAAAAAACCCCAACAAAGCAGAATTCTAATATCAAAACGAACAGCCTAGGAATAGTACCACTTCATAATAATCACAAGTCATTAGGATCGGGAGTAAATCCCAATAGAAATAGGAAATACCAAATTCTTGGACAAATTCCATTTTCTGAAGTGGACAGTGATGGGTAACCTGCCGGTGGCACCATCACGGCGTACGGTATTCCTTTTAATGATTATGAACTGGTTCTCAGTCTTAAGCAGTAGGCCAGCCAGTTAGATCGTTTAAAATTAGACACCGAATCATCTGCTAAGAGAATATTGTAAAGGCTGCATTAGGTGCGCTGCGAGACGACACCTGACTAAAAAGCTGTCAGTTTCAGGCGACAATTATGGGACCTTGGGAGCCACAAGTGTCAATAACACATGAGGGGACACAGAGCTAGCAAATCCATGTGTTATTGGGCAGTCACAGGTACTAACCTCAAGTACAAAGAAAGGGGACAGTGAAGACAAATATATGAGTAATGTATGTTTACTGAAGGTCCACAGAAAGTCATTTTACTCCTCTTGGGCCTTGCTCACGCTTTACGGATTTGTTTGGTCCTCCAAGCATTATGGCTTAACTCCCGTAGGTGTCCATCTGTTACAAGCGTGGACCTGGGGGACCATGCTACACAACTGCTGTCTGTAAGAGTGTCATCCTCCTGGGACCACGCTCTGCAGCTGTGTTTTGTGGTGAAATTCTGCTGTCCAGTCCTACCCAGTGACATCTTTTCAGATGGCAGTCAAGCTCAATGAAAAGGGGAAAAGGAGCAAGCTCTGCTTACTGACATTTTTAGGCAGTTTGATTGTCAGTGGGAAGTTTGGTTCCTTTTTTCATGCAAGTTTTCCGGATGAAGGAGCCTGTGGTTGAACTTATACAATTAGGCTTTTTTGCCAGTGTTGGGGTCTCTCAACTGATAATTTCATTTCTCGGGGGGCAGAATCACAGAATGCATGTGGGTCCCCAGTCTTGGTGACGTCAATGGGGTTAGTGCCTGTGCCGTGACTGTATGACCTGGCCGTCACAGGTACACTTACAACATAGTCCCTAGCTTCAAAAGCATACGTGGCTTTCCCTATCGTCCTCTTCATGAGTTCTTTGTGAAAACAGAAAGACTGAGTCTGCCAATAACCAGCAAGAGAACAAGATAAAATGAATAAAAGTATCCGTAAGACTGTAACATCTGACAAACAATTGGTAAAGATTTCCAAAATCTTTGATCAGCTTTGATGGCATTTTTCCATATAATTAACTCTAAAACCTGGGGCACATATATCCATAGTTTAGATTTAGAAGTCCCTTGCTCGGACCAGAAAAAGAAATCCTAATTTAAGACAATAAAGTTACACTTTGTAGATTGCAAATTGAGAACATACTATCTAGTGTAAGATGAAATATGAAATAGTGGTTACTAACACTCAAATGGCATGCCAATCTTTAAAGATGTTCAGAGAAACAAAATTTTCTTGTAAATATCAATGATTTACAACAAAAATTATTGTATCCTGTTTAATTATTTAGAAATAAAATGGGCTAAGAAACGTTTGCACAAGATTTATACATTCTGCTGATAGAAACAAATGATTGAAACCTGGATCTTAAAGCTGCAAACATGACAAATTTAAAGACATATTAAAGTCACAGATTTGTTATTTTCCTAGGATATTTTTCCTATCTTTGGCATAATAGCCTTAAAGTAAAAAAGTAGAATAAACAAAATAATAGCAAGAACTGTATCATTTTAGTCATGGATCCAGTAAACCATCTCTTCCGTTTTGAAACTGCTTTAAAATCAAATTTATTTCCCCAAACTTCAGATGTATTTTTCGTTTTGAACTTCCTAATCTTACTTCTATAATGTATTTTTTCTTTGTCCACTGCCACTTCCTGAAGGAAGAGACATCAAATCTGACCCCAACTAACATAAGGGAAGCAAAAATATGTTTCTATTTATTTACTAATGTTTTTAACGGGTACATATGTGTGTACGAAAGAAAACACACTCACTGTTTAGAAAATTTTTTAACAGGTTTCTTGAGCATAGATTTGAGGTGTAAGAAATAAAATTCATTTTGCTAATTATGGTAAAAAAAAAAGGGGGGGGGAGAAGGGCATTCCTTTAACTCATCAAAATAACCAGTTTCCCATTTCAATGCTTTTTGTTTTTAGGTGTTATATATATTTTTTGCCATCTTTTTCTTACATTTATTGATTACTGACATTCTTTGGTCTTTTCCTAAACATTTAGAGAATACCATGAAACACAGATTCAGAAACCACTTGCAACCAGCAGACTGTGTGAGATTGAGAGAGGAATGGAATAGCTATAGAAACAAATGGCAAACGGTCATGAATAGTCAACATCCTTCGTCATGAGATTCCAAAAGACCATGCAGAGATATTTATTATAAGTATAATAAATGAGTGCTCCGCAAAGCTTCTGGAAGTGGCAGAGATGGGTTAACTGGTTTACAGTTAATATAAAACTTTACAGTCCAGAAAAAACACCTCGTCACCTGTCGGAAATTCTTCAAAGAACAACTGGAGATGGATGGGCAGTTCTAGAAGCCACCATAATCGAAATCTAAGGCTAGAGCTCAGCGCAATCTCCCATCCACTTCAGAAGCTATTCTCTGACTTCTAACAATAACTGCCTTCAAATGTCTTAGAAATTAATGTCTAATTCCTAACCTGATATACTGGGTAACTTTAAAACAAGATAGTTCTACCAGCTGTATTCTTTGTATAAAACTTTGAGATTCCCTTATTACAGGAACTCTGCATATAAAGTAATGGGCGATTTTGTCTCTTATTTTAAAAGGGAACAACTTAGTTATCTATTAGATATTTACGTTCTTTTTTACACAGAAGAAGAGAAAAGTAGAAACGATGTTTGTGGAAGAACACATCCCACTATAGCTGTATTGCTATAAGACAGGACCCAAGAAGCCCTTACAGGAGGTGCTAAGGCACTAAATGTTTGTTTCCTCGTGACAGTCACACTTCCTTATTCATTATAAACTATATTTTGGGACTGCCTAGACTAGACTGACGATTTAGATTTAGTTGGGATGCTGCATATTACTTTATTCCAATCTTCTTTTCAAACTGCTATCTCCTTTGGGTTGCTGGAGCAACTCTATAAAATCCTGTGACATAAGCATGTCGTGAGGTCTCGATTAGAATGGCCCACCTGAGTCTACATAACATACACTTATAAGTTAACCATATTATGACAGATTCTCCCTCGATGTGGATGTTACAGGATCTCAGACCCCAGGGACAGGCTCCCTGGCTTTAACTCCTGGCTGTCCATCTTCCTAACTTCATCTCTTTATGCCTCAGTTTTCTTATCAGTGAAATAAGGAATCTTAGTACCTCGATTCTAGTGGGAAAAATCAAATGAACACACAGTCTGGCATACAAGGATGATAAACACTTGATAAATGTCAGCTGCTGTTATTATTTTATTCTTTAAAGAGAAATACTACATCGAGCCTTTTCCAGTTGGGTATTTTATCAACATCTTACAAGTTCACCAGGCTAGCTAAAGAAACCACTGTAACCTGTATTTCCCCTTTGAACCCCGAGGCATAGATCAGAGAGCAGTGTCTTCATGACACATTGTTTCAGTAATTACTAAGCAAATATTTTCTGGCTATACAGTGAGTTCCAATTCCTCATCTCACATGTCGTTAACTTTAGAAACTGAATCTAAGCTTCCTTTTTTTGGCAAAATCAAGGTAAAATATTAATGACTTAGATGTTTTAAAAGGGAAGTGGAGAAAAGTCTTTTTGAAATGGACTAAAGACAAAAAGAACTCTGGGCTGGCTCTCTGTCTGTCTCTCTCCTTCTATCCGTCCTGCTTGCTTTCTTCATTTCTCTTTCTGTCCTTTTTCTAACTAGGTGTCATGAATCCTTATTGTTTTATGTATGGGAAAACACAATGCGTTCATTCACAAACAAAATAAGTTATGCAGAACAAAACAGGCAACCAAAGCGTGAGAGAGACAGGATTCCCGAGCAGAACTTACCCCTCGCTTTAGGCTCCGGAAGCAGTGGATTTTGGGTTTGGAGGTCATGAACTCGTTGAAGCGATGGGAGAGGGGTTCCTTTTGCTGCTTGGGAGACTGGGGGCCGTTGGGAACAGCAGAGGGTGAGGCAGAGGCAGGGGGAGGAGGGGGAGGCTGATGGGGGGATGTTAAAAGGGACATAAGCTACATGTAAGAGATGGAGCAGTGACAGAGTAAAAAACCAGAAACAAGAAGATAAGACACAAAACAAAAATAAGCATCAAATAATATTTGAAATCCAAAGCAAGTCAAACACAAACAATTAAATATTTACGCCATGGTCCAAAAGAAAACATGGAGAGTATGTCGGATGAAGAATATGATGAAAGTGGGGGTTTTAGTAAGTAGTGCAACAGAAGAATAGCAAGAAATATTTGACAAGCAGCTCATGCAGACTTTTCACATGCAAATTATAGTTCTAATCAGTTACTCTACACCAGTTTAAGCCAGAAGGGTAAATATTTCGAAACCACCTAAACTATCACAGCTTGATGGGAGAAAATGAAAGACCTTAAATGCTAAAAAGGTTGTGAAAACAGCAAGACAAGTCTTTTAAAACTAAATATTAAATTATTCTAAGGGTAAAGCAGTAATGCCGCCTTGATCATATTTTTATGCCCCGGTTAATGCCGTCATGCACCTACGTATCACACTATAAAAAGAAAATGAAAAATGTTCATGGATCCACATGTTAACATGAATTCAAAACCAAGTTATTAACCCATGGAAACAATTCCAATTAGATATGCTGATCAATTGTTATAGAAATTTTGTGCACTGTCCCTTCTTCCCACCAAAGTAACCAGCAGTCTAGGGAGCTTAGGGATGAAAGGCATGATGGGAAACGGCCGAGAGGTCAGTAATCTGTTAGTGTGGGTGAGAGGGTACAAGTGACAATGCATATGAAATCAGACAAATGGCCATGGCAAAGGTGCTACCACCAAAGACAAATACTGTTTTAGAATAAAATAGTACACTAGGTGTTTTTTGTTGTTGTTGCATCCTGAAACTATAGGTTTAAAATCTCTGCTTTTTTAAGACTAAGAGATAAAGTCAAAATTTCACTTTATGAAACTCGTTTCACACCGGGTATCAATCATCAGTACCTTATTTTTTTTGATGAACGGCCATAATTTTCCTTTGGATTTGCCACCAAATTTGAGCTCTGCTTTGCCTTCTCCTCTGGAATTTGAAAGGCTGTTGTCGGACACGGTGCGTTTCATTGGCTGAGTGTAATCCTCAAATTCAATGTCTCCGGGGGGCTCAAACCCTGACTTATAAGATTCTATGACCAGCTGTGAATCCTGGAACGATACCCATCACACACAAATACGTTCAAATACATGGAAACGCTTTTTACACAATGAATCACGTTCACTGCATACAGATGTTATTCTAAGGATGTTACAATGATTAATAGATTTTTTTCCCCAGTAATAGTCTTATTATTAGGAAGAATAAGTATAATTTGCAAAGCTATATGTCTAATTGAGATTTTAAGATACTTTGAAGAACCATTTTTCTACGTCTGGAGAAACAAGTAGTAATGAAGAACAACTTTGCTAAAAGCAGAAAAATTGGGCTATTATTAAGCAATTCCCTTGAAAACTACAGTAATAAAAAAAATAAAGATCATTTCAACTTCTTAACATAAGCCCGCATTTTAGCTTGCCATATTTTAGCTAATAATGTGTAGGTGTGTCACAGACTGCCAATCATCTTCCAATAGCCAATCACCCTTCCTTCTTAGTAACAGGAAGCTGATTTTAAGTGGGGCACATTGCCACCCAGCTAAAAGGTTTCACTCCCCAGCCTTCTGTACGGCAAGAGGTGGCCACCTGAACTATGTCTGACCTCTGAGATCTCTGAGATGCAGGAAGAGGTATAGTGTACAATTTTAGGGAGCCTCTTTAAAGGGATGGCATGAGCACTTCTCCACCCATGTTCTGCTTTCTGGAATTTGGATGTGATGGTTGGAGCTCCAGAAGCCATACTGAGTTTGAAGGTCACATCATCAAGAGCTGTGACCTGGGGGGAGCCTGGGTCCATGAGGACTTAGGGACCGCCCGCCCACGCCATGGCGGGACTCTGTCTGAGACGAAAAACAAACCACCTTGCGCAAGACATGACCGTTCTTGTTATATGAAGCTAAGCCTACACTAGTGGGTTCACACCCACAATCCTGAGTGGGCCAGTGACTGCGACCTTCACTTATTCTAGTGAAAACAGGGTCACTTGGTTTGAATGGAAACTAACCTTACATAAATAAGCCAGTTTGAACATTTAAGTAATCATGTGATTTAAAACTTCATTAAGGGGGAGAGGAGTGTGATGTACAGAATTGACGAGTCAATGATGATAAGAAAATGGAGCTCGTAACATGGAAAACCTTGACGGCATGGCCACTGCTACTATTGAAAAGGACTTCTGACCACCGAAGGCAAGGACCTATCAGAAGACTGAATGAGGTCACCATGGAAGGGGTGGAGAAATAACGGGACCACAGACAGTTGTAAATAAAGTCCAAAATACAGTACTTACATTTTTCTGATCAATGGACTCCGCTGCCTTCGCGATTCCATCCAGGCATTTCCCAATGATTGGGACCACCTGCCGATCGACCTCTGCGTATGTCTTCATCGATTCTCCCATCCTCACTATCCTCCTTTCCTCCATCTCTTGTATTTTCTGTAACATTAGATTTTGTATAAAATTAATTTGGCCCACAGTTATTTAAGGATGTTGTTTCTCAGCAGCACTGTTACCTCGAATAACTTGTTGAGGAGGGAAATGGGCTAAAAAGGGTTTGAGTTAGAGCACCTGTGAGCTTACTGTGCCTTGGCCTTAGCCAGCTGTATATGTATTTTATGAATTCTTAGGCCGCCCAAACATATTCTTTACACAATCTTACGCCAAAGTCAGTAAGAACTGCAAGCTCAAGTCGTTTTATTAACACCGTTTGATATTAGATTTCAAACATTTTCTCCATCTTTGATCCACTACTTTACCTTTTACCAAAAGCACAGTATTTGCTTAACTGCCTTAACCCAACACAGGCTGGGATGGAAGTAGTGTGCCTGCTGTGTGTGTAGACATGATGAAGCAAATATTCATTATTTTTTTTCCTACAACTGGCCTTGAAGTTGTAAGAGATTCCCACAGTGGGAGAACATGGATAGATCTTTTCTCATGCCGTTTTTGACAATCTACAGGAGCCAAAAGAAAAACAATTCAAAGGAAAGAACTGTCACCCATTCAAATCCTACAACTATGAATGCTGCTTTCATTCCTAAAGTGAGGTTGGCATTTGTTAATTTTATTTTTTTCTTGGTAACCAGCATGGTCCTTTTAGCAAAGAGTGTTTTAATCTAAGAATCATAGTTCTAAGACTGTATGTGCAAACCAAGGAAGTTTGCAAAGGCTACTGATTAATCTTGAGATTAATATTGTATTTCATCTTATTGCTAGTGAATGCTTGATCTGAATGCTTTATGAAATGATTTGAGAGAAAATTTAGAATTATATAAATACTTAGCACCTAAGCCCAGCAATCACGATTCTAAAGCCACGTGTTTCTAAGAAAGACCAATATGACAGACCTGAGTCGCTTACCTGGAATATGGTGGGAATGTGGCTGTGATAATACTCGCGCTGCTCATGGTTGAATTTCTGAAGAATCGACGAGTAATCTGCTTTGCTGTCCTCTGCCATTTGGTGACGTATTTGAGCTTGTTGTCGTGCCTGAGGGCGAACAATGAGAACATCCCCATGTCTACAGAGAATAACTAAAAGCCTAGAACTGAAAACCGGAGGGGCTGGGGTCAAATGTACCTCACATGCGTTGTATTTGGCAGGTACTATTTTTAAAAAAATCATTTAGAATTTGAATTTACTTTAGGTAAGTATGTGCATCCTAATTTGTCACAAACCTCACCCTTCTCTATTGTCTTAACTTGTGATTCCTTTCTAGTGTGACAAAGTGCCTTCATTCCTTTTTTTTTTTTTTTTAAAGATTTTATTGGGGAATTGGGGGAGGGGAACAACCTTGGGGAATTGGGGAAGGGAAACAGACAAGTTGCTGCCCTTTTGTTCTTCAGTCTAGTTGTGAAGGACGTTGCTTCACTGGCCCATGTTGGTATTATCATTGCGCTCTTCCCGGGTGAGGCAGTCGCTCACCAGCCATTGGACGGCGGCTCACGGCGGCTCACGGCAGCTCATGAAAGCTCACGCAGGCTCCCAGTCAGCCCTACTGCAGCCTAGGCCGTCGTCGGCCACTCTTGGCAGCCCAACTCCAGGTAGAGCTGTTGTTCACCATCTTAACTGTAGAGGGTGCAGCGTCACTGGCTCATGTAGGACCCGAACCGGGGCCCTGCTGCTCACAGCTGGTGTCCCAAGCCAACTCTTAACCAACGTGCCACTCAGCCAGCCCAAGCGCCTCCATTCTTTAATGCCTGTACTTGGCTGGTTCACGTATTTATGTTGCCTGGATGGCCCTTGTGGGAACCTCTACATATATATTTTTTTTTTGAGGAGGAGGAAGAGACAGGGCAATCCATACAACTTTTTAATCCAATTCTCAGTGGAGTTCATGAACTAAAAAGGCATATGAGGGGTGGCTGGTTAGCTCAAGTGATTAGAGCGCAGGCTCATAACACCAGGTTGCCGGTTCGATTCCCACATGGGCCACGGAGCTGTGCCCTCCACAACTAGACTGAAACAACTACTTGACTTGGAGCTGAAGGGTCCTGGAAAAACACACCGTTTCCCCAATTATAAAAAATAAAAAAAAAAAAAGGCATATGAACCACTGATCTCAATGGACCTTGCTAAAAGTCTCCACTATGTTTATTTTTAGTATATACTTTAAAGAAATGGTAAGGATGGCTCCCTCTTTGTGCTTCTTAAGTTTTTGTGTGTGTGCTCTTTTGTGTTTTACTGTATTGTTTTTCTCCTGATCAACACTCAAATTCATAAATTCGTTTCTCCAATTCATATTTTGGTTTATCGCACGCCTACAAGAAAGAGGCAGTTGTTGACATGCTACACAATTGATTTTAAAGCTCATACAAGAATGTCTGTAAACTGTAGTCACCCACAAATACCAGAGATGGTTAGGCTGGTAATAGCATCTTAGATTCATGTAGCACTCTAGGTGCCTAGACCAATACTGTCTCATGAATCTCTAAGACAATCTGAGCTCCACAGGAGGCAAAATCCGCCCACGGGCCAGAGGAAAGGATGCTTGCTTGGCGTGCTGGCAAACTCAACACATTGAGGCAAAAACACAACAGGAAAGGGGCCTTGTTCCAACATAACCAAGGCAACTTTTGCTTTGTTTTTATTTTGTTTTGTTTTATTGACACTGATAGTTTGGGGGTGGGGTGGGGGGTGCGGCATAGGAATGTTCAAAGGTAAACACTAAAAGACCTGCTGGGGGTGGTTGGTCCCACTTTCTATCTCATTACTGATAACATCTACCGATGTTTTTTTCTGTTTGTTTGTTTTTACCATCTCAGCATTTTTATTGGTTTCCTGCCTCTGGGACTTGAGGGCTTACCAGGTTTTCACTTCCTTGACTCATGTGACTCACACACCTATTGGTGAAAGCCCCAGGTGGTCGTTCAGAGTGGCTTCCTTTATTCTCTTCCCCATTCATACACAAGCACTTCCCAAACCAAGGTAACAATATCAATATTTCCAAGTGAATTTCCTTATTACCTGAGGTTTTCAGTTTCTGAACGCCTGTAGGGACCTCAGAACCACTTTATCTACTTCTCACCTCCCCTCGCCTCTTTCGCTGCCATATTCTTCCTCTTTGTTGGCGCCTGTTGACTCCCTTCCCGGCCATATGCCTTGGCTTCCGCTTCCACTGTGTCCACTAGCGGGTGTCTAATCTAGTCCCCGAATGTGCAGTCCCTGGCCACCTGAAAAGCCCATGCCCTTCAACACACCGCAGCCCTCCTGTTTCAATAGTGGTTTCCCCACCTACGTGCATCCCATCTGTTCCTCTGATGCAACCAACACAAACATCCTCTTAACTCCTTCAGCTCCCTAGAGTTTTATCACTTATCTCTTTATTATAAATATGACAAAAACATGGAAATTCTCAGAGGTAGATCAAATGTCTAAAAAAGTCTCTGCTTCATTCATAAACCTTCCTCAGAAAGCCTCGTAAAATTCCAAGGAGTGGGGCCTTCATATCTTTTGTAAACAAGAATAATAAGTAACAACATGGAGAGCCCCCTTATTAGTTTTAGAGAAACGATTCTACCTTGGTGAATTTTTTAAATAGCTTAGTTCTGAAACCGAGATCAGAATGTCATTATTATATATATGTATGTATTTATATATGTACATACACACACACACACACACACACACACCCCACCACCACACAACACCATGAGCAGATTAACACTCCCTGACAATCCATCGTACCAACCATGGACTAGCTTACTGATAGTCCGGCCAGAGGTACCCCAACACTGTTTGGGTGGAAGGAGCTGTGATCCTCTTCCTACTAGCTCCCCAGAATCTCCAATGATACCTTGGCTTTCGCTATATGATTGCTGTTGTAAGCAGGTTAACTCCTAACAGTCCCATGGTGCCCTTTACACGGCTTATCTGCAGTAACCCTGACGCATAACCAAGGACCATTATCTGCTAGCCATGGAAGCCACTGAAATACGCAACATCATGTATTGTGCCAGCCTGGAAAGCTAGCTGAGTAGAAGCAAAACACCAGACAAACACACGCTAGAGGGACTGGGTCTATCTTTCATGTTAAAGAAGGTTCTCCATCTGGGCATTGGCCTCGAGTGCAAAAGCTTGGACATAGACGGCAACAATCGATGTATTTCTACAGTCTCTCACTCACTAAAAAGGATAGAGAAGCAGCAAGATATCGTTGTTCGCCAAATGCTGCAAAGCCACAGCAGAAAGACAGGACTGTCTCCTTCTCAATTCCAGCACCCATCTGCTTTGAATTAATATTCACTTTTGAGTCCCAGGCCCAGGAATGTGCCATTGTTCTGACCAGGTTTCACTATGGAAAATCTACTTTTGTTTAGCAAATGGTTCTGCTTACTCGACAACGGGAAGAGTCAGTTGCATCAGTTACTCCTTCTATCAGGTAGATTTTATAAAATATCCTTAATAGTATTTTTTTACAAATGTCTCTGGAGTTCCCAGTTAGGAAGTAGATATTTTAGAAAGTGTATCTCCTTATGTCGAAGGCTATATGAAGATTATAAGCATCTGCTATTTCTCACCTCTTTTTAAGTCATTCTAAAAATAGCAGCTATTATCTTAAAGTGGCCTGGGTATTTCCATTCTAAGCCAGACCAGGAGCGTTTTCTTTTAATTAAATTTCCCACCCTAATAATAAAAGACACTATATCTTCTAGCAACATTACTGTAGGGCAGAGAAAAGTTCCGATGATTTTTTTTTAATGAGTCAGAGTCACAGAATTTAGAGATAATATTCTAAAAAAGTCCAGAATGACCACCACTGCCTGAGGCTATACGTCATATACTTCTTTGAATAAGACCTAGGCTACTCTCACTGTCAATCAGAAAGGCTGAATTTAAACTTGAGAATTTCTGTGACAAACCCTGGGGAATCTCCCCCGATAAATCCATATAGGCCTAAGAATGTGCAGTTTACAGATGACTTCACTGCTCGGTCATCTTAACACAGTCCATCGCCTCAGTTTATGGAAGGAAAGCAGCGTCGTGCCTAAAAGGTCAGACTTGCAGTTTCTAAATACAGAAAACAATATTTTATAGGTTGACCTGCAGCCCCGTGCTTCTAAATCCTAATGGGTTTAAAGACAAAAGTACTGTCATCCATTTAGTTAGATACATTTAGATGATTAGCATGGCTGATCTGTGTAGCTACTTCCTGTTCCATTCGTGTTACTCTCTCCTTACCGTTTCGGTTGTTAAGGAGAGGCTAACACTGGTGGCTGAGCATCAATTGTAAGCAGAGAAGAGACGGGGCACCGAGCAACTTTTCACTTTCATGTAGGGAACAGGGTAGGTTTGCTTATAAAGTGACTCCCTCACATCTTTTATCAGGGCCACGTAGGGCTTTTGACCTTTCAACAAAATGAGCAAATATTTACACATTGACTATACATAATGAGATTGATGAATTTTTTTGACCACGACAGACTTCTCAGAACGTGATCCACTGCGCTTCCTTAAGTGATAAACCATTTGTTGCAGCAGCAGTCAGAGCTTTTGGAAAGTCACTTTTTTCCTTTGTTAAAGGCATATAATATAAGGAATTACAAACGCCCATCCTTTATTATCCCCAAATTTGGGGAGAGCAAATGAGGACTATCTGACAGGTCTCCCTGTTAGTTCAAACCACAGTAAATGTTCTCCGGAGCAGCTGTGCCTCCAGCATTGTATTAATAGTTTGTCATTATCATAAGAGACTGATTGTATTTTAGGCTGGAGGGGAAAGGGGGCTAACTCCAGATTTTATTCTGAGTTTACTATTTACTATTCTGCGGCAGCTAGGCTGTCTGTAACTGTTATGCCATAGCTGGCAACGTGTGGCAGCTCCACTCAGAGGGCAGATGGGCCTGCCCGCCATCACCGGAGTCCAGCCAGGAGGGCGAGCGGCCGGGGCTGGAGGCGCAGTGAGAAACTGGCACCCGGCCCTTTGGTCCACCCCTCTTCAATCTACCTAAGCCTCTGACAATACTGTGGGTAATATTAAATGTCTGAAC